AACTATCGACACCAATCATAATTGGTGAACAAACCATTGACGAGAACAACAACTTAATTTATATATTGGGCCCCTCACATGGGGTAGCGTCTTGCAGCACTGACCATTGAACCAAATGCAACAAAATAACTCATACCACCTGCAGTGAGCACTAACAGAAAGGAGGGACACCTGCTCCTCCCAGACACATTGTCCCCATGGGTGGGAATGTCTTTCGAACCCTCTCGGCTCATCGATAGGCTTCCTTTTTGTAGAAGAGCCCAGTGACTGGTCAGATGCACAACCCTCCAATGCACAAATACCAAACTTTTGTAAAATCTTTTGAAACGCTTTGAGAAATCCACCCAACATGAATGGTGCTATATTAAATGCAAAGATGATTATTATTTTATTATTGGGAGGGCATTTCTTGAAGGCACTATGGGACACTGTTGCTGGAAGCCTCTCAAGCCTCCCTCCCGTAACCCAATCACCATGCAGGGAGCACTCACTGGCTGCAAGTTGCTCGATGGTGTGGCTACTGATGCTCCATGTAGTAGGAACAGTTGCTCACAGCCCCATATCAATCTGGTTACAATATCTCACTGAACTGGTATCTGCTGAACTGAACTCTCTCTGCCTTTGTCTCGCAGCAAACGGCTTCTCCTCCCTCCAAACTCTCTGACTTGCTGACTTTCTACCAACCTGCCCACTCTCTCCTTCAGTGGGCTCTGGTCTGCTCCATGTCTCCCGCCCAACCATCGGTGGCCGGGCTTTCAGCCTCTCTGCCCCCACACTCTGGAACTCCATCCCACAATCCCTTTGCCTCGCTCCCTCCCTCCCTCCCTCCCTCCCTCGCCTCCTTCAAGGCCGGTCTCACGACCCTTCTCTTCGATCGTGCCTTTGGTCGCTCTCCCACCTTTCTGCCTTCCCTCACCCCTACACCCACCACTCCCCCATGCTCGGGTCCCAACACCTGACATGTTCAGCACTTTGGGAGGTCCTCCCGATTTGAAAGGCACTCTATAAATCTAATTTTGTTGTTGTTGTGGTTGTCTGAACACCATTTCTTGGTAGGAGCTAAATTGCACAGCATTAATAGAACATAAATGGGACATTGGGTGGTGCTGTAGATTTGGCAGAATCATTTCACCTCTGTGACCCTGGTTGAAATCCACCTCAGAAAACCGAGGTGGGAATCTGCTCTGCTGATTGTTAGGGAACCAAGGAATAGGAATAGAAAGGAATAGAAGTGGAAATGCACAGCCTATCGATAGTATCTGAAAGAGAAAGACAGGATAGCGTTTTCAGTGGGACTCTTCCTCAGAGATGGTGGATTGGTGGCGAGCAGAGAAAGGCAAGTAAAACACAACTAAAGCAGTAATATCTCAGAGCACTTAACAGAGATGTGGTTTGACGCTGCACTGGATAGAGAGGGGAGGTGACCAAAAGCAAGGTAAAAGAGCAAAGTCTTCCGGGGTGGTTTCAAGACAGGCAAAGAGGGGGCAAGACAGAGGGATTGAGGCAGAGAGTTCCAGAGATAGGTCCAAGTAGGTCCAAACTAAGAACAAAAAATGCATTAGGAGAAAGTTAAAACGTACAAAGAAGCATCTGACCAGTCACTTAAGCAAACCCGCCTGAAACAGATAAAAGCAGGTGAGCAGCGCAAAACAAAGTGAAAAAAAAAATCTCCCCATTTGACCACAAGACCCTATCGCTTGACGTGCTACCCTGTCCAAGTAGTTCAAAACAAAGAACAAAAAGTGCATTAAGAAAATTAAAACGACTATTCAAATGCGCTCCTCGCCAGTCCCCGCAGCTCCACCATCCACAAGGTCCGGCTGATCCAAAACTCCACCGCCCGCATACTCACTCGTACTGAACTCCGCACCCCCATCACCCCAATTATAGCCAGACTCCACTGGCTCCCCATCGCCAAACACATCAGTTTCACGATCCTCACACTCGCTTTCAAATCCCCTCCAGCCCTGGTACCTCCCTTACCCCCCCAACCCACGACCCGCTGCCTCCGCTCGACGGGCTCTGGCCTTCCGCACGTCCCGTGGGCCATCTGTTCCCTATCAACCCGCCCGCTCCCTCCGTTCAGCGGGGCCCGACCCGCCCGACCATCGGTGTCCGGGCTTTCAGCCTCTCTGCCCCTCGCTCTGGAACCCCACCCCACGGTCCCTCCGCCTCCCTCCCTCCCTCCCTCCCTCGCCTCCTTCAAGGCCGGTCTCACGACCCTTCTCTTCGACCGCGCCTTTGGTCGCTCTCCCCTCCACCCCTCCCACCCCCACACCCCTCCCCCCCCACCCCCTCCCCTCCCCCCACGCTCGAGCCGCGTACACCTTAATGTCCAGCGCTTTGGGAGGTCCTCCCAACGCGAAAGGCGCTCTCTATAAATGTCATGTTGTTGTTGTGGCACCCCACCCCCCCCCCCCCCGAAACTCTAGAACATTCTTCCCCTCCCCTGGGCCCTCCCCTCCCCCACCTTCAGGTCGCACCCGAAGGCCTTCCTCTTCGACCCCCCTCCACCCCCCGCGCTCCGCCGCCGCCGTCAAGTTATTGTCGTTACCGTGTGAAAGGCGATACGTGAGTCACCGCCCGATGTTGGTGTGACCCCCAGTGTGTGAGTGTGAGTGCGATCACCACCGTCTCCTGTTCGAAGCGGCTGTCGAGACAGACCGTTACCTTGTGCCTTCCTCACCGCCCCTGACCCCACGTGATGCTGACGCGCAGCCGCCTCCTCGCCTGTCTCATTGGGCCCGCGTCCTGACTGACAGACGCTCGGACCAATCAGCGGCCTCGGGTGTCGGGTGGGCGGTGCCGCGCAACTGACAGGTCATTCCCACTTCGGCAAAGGCGCTCAACGCTGGAAATCCGGAGCAGAGCCCGAGATCACTGGGAGGGCTCAGCAGGTCAGGCAGCATCCGCGGAGAAAGGAAAGGAAAGTCAGTCAATGTTTGGGGTCCACGATTGCGTCTTCACGAAGGGTCGTGCACCCGAAACGTTCATTCCCTTTCCTTTCTCCATAGATGCTGCCTGACCTGCTGCGTGTTATAATAATAATAATAATAATAATAATCCTTGCATTTGGTACAGGACGTCCCAAAGCGCTTCAAAGAATATACTGTAAAATGAATTGGCTGTACATTTGTGGGCGAACGCGGCAGCCAATTGCGCACAGCAATGTCCCACAAACAGTGGTGGATTGAAAATGACCAATTTATCATTGTTTTTGTTTTGGAGGGATTATTATTAGGCTCTGTGTGGAGTAAGGAAACTTGCCCGAGGTTTCGCCCTCTGCCTGGAATTGAACTCAGGTCTCTCACTTGCAAAGCGAGTGCTCTCACCGCTGAGCTACAGGACTCCAAGTGAATTGACTGCATATTGATTGGGCAAAACTTGTCGGCCAATTGTGGATTGAGTGAGCAAAAAAAAATTTCTTGAGGGATTATTAACTTGAGGATTATTATAATAACTGTACACAGTATTCCAAGTGCAGTCACACCAGTGATTTACAAAGCGGCATTGATAAACTTCCCTCCTGGACAGTCTTTCCTCCACTATCTGTGGAGTCCTGTAGCTCAGTGGTTAGAGCACTCGCTTTGCAAGCGAGAGACCTGAGTTCAATTCCAGGCAGAGGGCGAAACCTTGGGCAAGTTTCCTTACTCCACACAGAGCCTAATAATAATCCCTCCAAAACCAAAAACAATAATAAATTGGTCATTTTCAATCTACGACTGTTTGTGGGACATTGCTGTGCGCAATTGGCTGCCGCGTTCGCCCACAAATATACAGTCAATTCACTTTACAGTGTGTTCTGTGAAGCGCTTTGGGACGTCCTCCCGACGTGAAAAGCGCTATATCAAATGCAAGGATTATTATTATTATTATCTATATGGAGCACTTATGAGACCATCGTCTTACCCTATGATTGGCACTAAACAAACCAATAAGTGCAAGTTATTGCCCTCCTGACATCCAACACAAAGTGCTGCAAAAACCTCCACCCGATGGCAGCGCCGACAACTGTGTGTTCTGGAGGCGTTTCAGGCAGAAAGATTCCCAGAATGCACTGCTCTCACCACAGCCTCGCCATTTTGTGGTGACCTTGTGTCGGGGAGAGAGGGGGAGAGGGGGAAGGAGACAGAGAGGGGGAGAGAGGGGGGGAAGGAGAGAGAGAGGGAGGGAGAGGGGGAAGGACAGAGAGAGGGAGAGGGGAAGGAGAGAGAGAGGGAGAGAGAGAGGGAAGGAGAGAGAGAGGGAGGGAGAGGGGGAAGGAGAGGGAGAGGGGGAAGGAGAGGAGAGAGAGAGAGAGGGGGAAGGAGAGGAGAGAGGAGAGAGAGAGGGGGAAGGAGAGGAGAGAGGGAGAGGGGGAAGGAGAGAGAGAGGGAGAGAGAGAGGGAAGGAGAGAGAGAGGGAGGGAGAGGGGGAAGGAGAGAGAGAGGGAGGGAGAGGGGGAAGGAGAGGAGAGGGGAGGAGAGGAGAGAGAGAGAGGGGAAGGAGAGGAGAGAGGAGAGAGAGGGGGAAGGAGAGGAGAGAGGGAGGGGGAAGGAGAGGAGAGGGAGAAGGAGAGAGGGAGGGGGAAGGAGAGGAGAGGGAGAAGGAGAGAGAGAGGGAGAAGGAGAGAGAGGAGGAAGGAGAGGGAGAGGGGGAAGGAGAGAGAGAGAGGGAGAAGGAGAGAGAGCAGCAGTGAGAGAGAGGGGGGGGAGAGAGAGAGAGAGGGAAGGAGAGAGAGCAGGAGAGAGAGAGAGGGGGGGAAGGAGAGAGCAGCAGTGAGAGAGAGGGGGGGGAAGGAGAGAGAGGAGAGAGCGAGGGAAGGAGACGGAGAGCAGGAGTGAGAGAGAGAGAGGAGAAAGAGAAGGAGAGAGAGAGGGAAGGAGGGGGAAGGAGAGCAGGAGTGAGAGAGACAGAGAGAGGGAAGGAGGGTGAAGGAGAAGGAGAGCAGGAGTGAGAGAGAGGGAAGGAGAGAGAGAAGGGGAAGGAGAGAGAGAGAGGGGAAGGAGAGAGAGAGAGGGGAAGGAGTGAGAGAGAGGGAAGGAGAGAGGAGAGAAAGAAGAGATGCTGAGAGCCGGGCTATGTCGAGCTCAGCGCCTCCTCCTCCCGCCTCTTCAGGGCCTCGGGGCCGCCATCAGCCGAGGAGCTCAGCAGTGGCAGCCGGACGAGCAGTGGATGCAGCAATACTCCGGGGCCGTCATGTATCCCGATCACAACAACATCAAGTGGAAACCTGCGCCCTGGAACGACAAAGACCCTCCGGCAGAGAAAACCGTCTCTACCCTGACTGTAAACTTTGGGCCACAACACCCGGCAGCTCATGGTGTCCTGAGGCTGGTGATGGAGTTGAGTGGGGAGTCGGTCAAGCGGTGTGACCCCCACATCGGCCTCTTACACCGCGGGACAGAGAAACTGATCGAGGCTAAAACCTACCTGCAGGCCCTGCCCTACTTTGACAGACTGGATTACGTGTCTATGATGTGCAATGAACAGTGCTATTCTCTCGCTGTGGAGAAGCTGCTGAACATCAGACCACCTCCTCGAGCTCAGTGGATAAGAGTCCTGTTCGGAGAGATCACCAGAATATTGAACCACATTATGGCCATAACCACACACGCTCTTGATATTGGGGCGATGACCCCATTTTTCTGGATGTTCGAGGAGAGGGAAAAGATGTTGGAATTCTACGAGCGGGTTTCCGGAGCCAGAATGCACGCAGCTTATGTCCGACCTGGTGGTGTCCATCAGGACCTTCCCCTCGGATTAATGGACGATATATACACCTTTATGACCAATTTCTCGATCCGAATTGATGAGGTCGAGGAGATGTTCACAGACAACAGAATTTGGAAAAATCGTACGGTTGATATTGGAGTCATAACAGCTCAGGAAGCGTTGAATTATGGATTCAGTGGGGTGATGTTAAGAGGATCTGGGATAAAATGGGATTTAAGAAAATCTCAACCCTACGATGCCTATGACCAGGTGGAATTCGACGTCCCCATAGGAAGTAATGGAGATTGTTATGATCGCTATGTGTGTCGGGTGGAGGAGATGAGGCAGAGTTTGAGGATTGTACTTCAGGCCCTGAACAAGATGCCTGAGGGAGAGATCAAAGTTGATGATGCTAAAATCTCTCCTCCCAAGAGAAGCGAGATGAAGGAGTCAATGGAAGCATTAATCCATCATTTTAAGTTATATACGGAGGGATATCAAGTTCCGCCTGGGGCCACTTACACAGCGATTGAAGCGCCAAAGGGGGAGTTTGGAGTGTATTTAGTGTCAGATGGAACAAGTCGCCCTTATAGATGTAAGATTAAAGCGCCCGGTTTTGCTCATTTAGCCGGACTTGATAAAATGTCTCAGGGACACATGTTAGCTGATGTGGTTGCGATTATAGGAACACAAGATATTGTGTTTGGTGAAGTTGATCGGTAAACAACGCTGGAAATAATTCAATATTACAGTATATTAATAATAATAATAATAATGCGGTCACTCAATCCACAACTGTTTGTGGGACGCTGCTGTGCGCAATTGGCTCCTGCGTTTCGCCTACAAAATATACAATGAATTCACTTTACAGTATATTCTGTGAAGCGTTTTGAGACGTATCGAAGACGTGATAATGCGCTATATCAAATGTAAATTATTATTTATTATTTTCACTTTTACATCCTACCAAATTCAGAAGCCCTATTTCAATAACATTACTCAAAGTGGAAGGAATATCTCTCTGGAGCAGTGCAGAAACCCATCATCATGTTTGTGGGATACTGCTGTATGCAATTGGCTAACACATTTCACCAACAAAATATACATTCAATTAACTTTACAGGATATTCTGTGAAGCGCTTTGAGACGTTTGAGGTGCTGTATCAAATTCACGGATGATTATTATTATTATTATTAAGACTATCCAAACTGGACAGAGTTTCACATATGTACGTCACCTACACATGAAATTTCTCTGTTTGAAATCGACTACCCATTCTCCCGAATGGACTCAGCTTGTTTGCCTTATTCCAGAATGTATTCAATGCAGGTTGGTAAGAGTCAAAACCTAGTGACTCTGCAGTGTGCAAATACTGCTTCTCCAGATAGGGGCACCCTTACCCGCTTGATATCAAAGATCAGTCTGACCAAGGAAGATCAGTAATGGAGTTAAATAGTTAGTTGTACAGAATATACTGTTCTTTGAAAAACAAAACTCAACAATAATATTCAAAGTGAAAACTGACAGTATACCCTGTCACTATTCTGTACTCTTTACAGGACAAATACTGCATGTTTAACTAACAAGGTTTGAAGCCAGAATGACTTGTGCTCCCGCTTTATTCGTGTTTCCTGAACTATTTCTTATATCCCAGAAGTGAATCTGAAAGTTGTAAAATCGCAATTCAATTGCAAGTGATGCTATGTAAACACTTACGAGAATGACCAAGGCCCACTGGGCTTTTGCTGAAGCCATCCCTTGGAAAACCATATCTATGGAGATATGTTAAGGAAATTCAGCAAATATTTCCATACTTATCAGATACTGTACTGCTTTTGGCAATTAATAAATTTTCTTCTTAAGTACATGAAATCCATCTACTGCTTTCTTTAAGCTGAAAACACCGTGTGCTACACATGACACATAGAATGAACAGCAGAAATTCATTCATGACCCAGAGTTGCAAGTGCCAGCTGCTGAACCAAACTCTCGCCTTTGTTGTCTGCATGAACAGCAGCATTTGATAATGCAGTACACAACAAAGTCAGATTGGCCAGAAATTAAAATACTTTTGTAGCCCAAAGTCAACCAAATACTAGCCCAAAAGTAGCCTAATATTACGTGTTGCTTACCTACTATGGGTATCAGAGTGACCAATTTAGGTTAATGCTTTTGGAACTAAGAAAACGTCGTCAAAGGGTTCAAATTAAAACTTTAAAAATTAGGCACCGCCCAAAGCTGTTTTCTCACACATAGTACAACAAAAACACACCAAATTGGGTGTGAACCCACTCAATCTGGCAACATTGCATGAAGGTTAAAATGAATATGAGTAGACAAGATAGTGAATGCCAGGCTGGGCTGTGGAGTCCTGTAGCTCAGTGGTTGTGGAGTCCTGTAGCTCAGTGGTTAGAGCACTCGCTTTGCAAGCGAGAGACCTGAGTTCAATTCCAGGCAGAGGGCGAAACCTTGGGCAAGTTTCCTTACTCCACACAGAGCCTAATAATAATCCCTCCAAAAACCCAAAACAATAATAAATTGGTCATTTTCAATCTACGACTGTTTGTGGGACATTGCTGTGCGCAATTGGCTGCCGCGTTCGCCCGCAAATATACAGTCAATTCACTTTACAGTGTGTGTGTTCTGTGAAGCGCTTTGGGACGTCCTCCCGACGTGAAAAGCGCTATATCAAATGCAAGGATTATTATTATTATTAAAAGCATGCAGATTGTTGACCCAAGTGAAAACAGAGGGAGAAACAAATTCAGGGTTAAGGTCCTGGAAATGAAGAAGGTAAAGAGTTAGGAACTGATAAAACTCACCCTTCCAAGGTCAGCGGGTCAGAAAATGAGTCTTTGAGTCCTGATTTCTATGCTGTTGCCTTTTTTCTTAACACACGGATGAAGGATACACAGGATAAAGGTTATTGTTGCTGTGAACGAAAGGAAAGTACGGAAGATCCCGATTATTCGCCCTTCCATTTGGAAATTCGTCTTGAATATCAGCACAGAATTGGTCCAACAGGTCATAAATCCAACTCCAAAGGCTGTGTAGGTACTGATGTTATGTAACACACTGTTGACGGACAACTGGAAGGATGTCCGTCAACAGTGTGTTTGTGTCATTTGTGTCACAAAACTGTAGCTCTGTGCAAGTACAAATCACTCATAATTCAGAGGCTCACTAACATTCCTGTTTCGTTTAAGGTCCTCAACCATCAAATAACCATTTACAATCTTTATATTGCTATCCACATCTGAGACTGTGCTGAGTTAGCTGATCAGGGAGGCATTGTGGAGTCCTGTAGCTCAGTGGTTAGAGCACTCGCTTTGCAAGTGAGAGACCCGAGTTCAATTCCAGGCAGGTCAGGGCGAAACCTTGGGCAAGTTTCCTTACTCCACACGCCTAATAATAATCCCTCCAAAACCAAAAACAATAATAAATTGGTCATTTTCATTCTACGACTGTTTGTGGGACATTGCTGTGCGCAATTGGCTGCCGCGTTCGCCCACAAATATAGTCAATTCACTTTACAGTGTGTTCTGTGAAGCGCTTTGGGACGTCCTCCTGACGTGAAAAGCGCTATATCAAATGCAAGGATTATTATTATTATTATTATTACGGATGGTATAATTGCTCCCTGACCTGAAAGGGAAAGGACACGGCTGGAGACATGATCGAGCTTGGCTGTGATGCACTACAATAGCCAAATCTACTTATGTCTGCAGTCACCATTCAAACAAATTTTTCTGCAGATAAATTTTTACGTTGAGTATAATCCTTACATTTATGTTTTAGATGATCGATCAATAGTGATCAGGAGCTAATACCCTAACTTTTTCCCCCACTTCCTCCCAAGTCAATTGTCAGATCTTTTAATCGCAATCCCCCACATTTTCTCCTTACCCCTTTATACCTTTAATCCCCAAGTGTCTGTATGCCTCTCTCTAAAACATTCCTATTGAATCAGGCTCCATAGCTTTCTGGGGCAGAGCATTCCACATCTTCACAATCCTTTGTGTGAAGAAATGGTTCCTGATCTTAGTTGTAACTGAATTACTATAAACCTGCCACCTTCTGGTTAATGTGACTCACTGATTACTGAACTAGGTGGTTGGTGCCTTTATCTTCTTGGACACTGGAGAGAGTTAGAAACCTATGCATTTTTTTAAATAAATGTAAACTGGAAAAGCAAATGGACCAGAAGTATAGAACATAGCAACACAGGAAATACTAGAAGAAATAAGGCCGAGGTCCATCTAGTTCGCCTTCTTCCTGATAGTCGCATACTACAATAATGGAGATGTTGATATAGACTCACAAAATAATGAATCTGATGTTGTATTAGAGGTATTCTGTTTACTTTCCCTCTCCCCTCTATCACCCAACAGCCACACACACACATACATAATTTCCAGCAAAAGGTTACTGGATACCAATCAGTTAGACAAATCCCTGTCAGAGATTCCCTAATCCCGAGCCCAGCAGCCAAAGGCAATACCCCAACCTCTCGCCTAGTTCCAGAGTGGACGAGTCACGGAACTTGGGACAAGTCTGATCACTGTGGCTGTGGAGAGTGGGAACATGGCAGTGAAAGTACAGAGGAACAAGTTGCCCACTTTCTTCCCGCCCCCACCCCTGCTACCCCCAATCACCACACAACTGCTTCAAACAAATTCATGCCCAAGTAACGTAGGTTAAGATATGTGGCCAAAAAAAATTTAACTCACGTGCTAACAAGTGAACAGATCCTTTGCTCTTGCCTTGCTATTACATACGTTTAAAACAAAATTTAGCAAGTGTCTAAAATGATCCCAAAATAAAACATATCCAGAGTATTTTATTCCCATCTTCTTTCTCTTATTTCCCTCTAGGCCCCTCTCTAGGCTTCCCTTCCTTTTGTAGTGAAACCTGAATTATTCCATTGGGATGCTGGTTCTCCATGCTACTGTTGCTGGAGACCTCTCCTGTCTATTGACTGTCAGCCTTGGGCAGTAGTAGCATTTTCGTCTCTGAGTCAGAAGATTGTGGGTTCAAATCCCATGTCGGGACTTGGGATCACATAGTCTAAGCTGACATTCCAGTTCTGGGGGGCGGTGATACATTGTTGGAGGTATCGTCATTTCAGATGAGACATTAATTCGAGGTCCCATCTGCCTGCTTAGGTGGATGTTAAAGATCCTATGGCACATTCGAAAAGAAAGGGGTAACTCTCCCACTGTCCTGACCAACAAATTCCCCAGTAAAAATTGGTCACTCACTCCACAGCAAACTGGCTGCACGTTTTGCCCACAAAATACAGTCAATCCACTTTACAGTATATCCTGTGAAGCACTTTGAGACATCTCGACGATGTGATAAGGTGCTGCACAAATGTAATCTTGTTGTTGTTGTATCAAATGTAAGGATTATTATTACCTGACCCATCTTCCAGTGTTGTGACTTGCTAACAATGTTAATATGGCACAAATAAATGCATGCACTGAATTTAGTGACTTTAACACAATGACTGGTCCCCAGATGTGCTGGAGTTGGACCTGTTCACCAAACACACTACAAAATGTCAAGGCAGCCTGGCTCAGCTGGTAGCACTCATTTCTCAATCAGAAGATTCATTTTAAACACTCCAAGATGTTACTTGTGTGAAGGGCCAAAATAAATGCAAGTTGGTGTTGTTGTGGGTTCAAGCCCACATCAGCAGTTTTCATAGTCTGGACTAATACTCCAATGCAGTGCTGTAGTACACTGGATTGTGGGAAGTGTTAAATGGTCGTTACTTGGGGGAATTGTTGGCCCGGACACTGTCAGAAACTCCCTTCTCTTTTCGAATCGTGCCATGGAATCTTTAACATCCACCTGAACAGGCAGACGGGACCTTGGTTTAACATCTCTTCCGAAAGATGTCACGTCTGACAATGCGGCGTAACCCCAGCACTGCATCGGAGGGTCAGCATAGACTATATGGGTTCCAATGTGAAGCTTGAACCCACAATGTTCTGACTCAGAGGCGAGAGTGCTACCAACTGAGCCTGGCTGATACATTTGCTCATAGTGCACATGTGCAACCTGCAGGAAGTGACTGTGGCAGCCAATTTAGCTTTATCCCCCTCACGGCTTATGGACCTGAAACAGTCAATTCATTATAATGGGGGTTTCTATACCAATCTAAAAAGGTTATAACTCAGTACAGACTGGGGATCAAACCTGGGATCTTCATAGTCCACGTGGCTCATCTATACTCTGGATAAACTCGCTGAATGAACCATGAGGAGAAAGCCTCAATGTCGATGTAGAGAGAGACGGAGAGCCACACACACTCACACACAGGTACAAAGCTTCACAGCATGTATTGTCAGGTGTACAATGCATTGATATTCTTAATATTAATAAAAATAAACTAACAAAAGATATTTAAATTTAAATAAATTGTTTGGAGTTTTAACAAGAAGTAAACTTCTCAATTATCAGCTGGATTTTAAACATTTGAACAATATTAATTCCATTTAGTTTGGCATCAATGCAAATGCTTCAAACCACCTACAGGTAACTCACATCCTCAGCAGAGGGAGAAGAACAAGTCCAACCTCTATTTTATTGTAACTAAATAAAACAAATTGCAGACTAGTTCACACAGGATAGTAGGATCAGGAGGGTAAACTTACACTAATCATTGCAATCATAACAACAATCAGGAATGCAATGGGAATGCACATCCAAAAGCTTATTTTCTTCATTTTAGCGTGCGGTTTACTAATTTTGACTTCTTTCTTTTTGAAACAAAAGCGACAAGGTGTTACTTGCACAAAGATTTTTTAGCGGGCATGAGGGTGTCACAGAAGAAACTATCAACACCAATCATAACTAGTAAACAA